TCACTGACACAGGAGCATCCATTGAAATGTATTTTTAGGATTTATTGTAAATCATTTGTAACTTGCTGTTTATGTCAGCAAAACTGCATTATAATGTCAGCAGTTTTTCATGGGTTAGAGCAGTTTTCATGGATGTGTCAGCCATATTTATTGTGTAAGCAATACTTCATTATTATATCCACAATACTTCACTGATACTTCAGAAATACTTAATCTATTGCTACAGCATTTCTTCAACATCTGGCAGGGTGGTGATGGTAGCTAACATTGAATAATTTGTCCTTATCTGCCTTGTATTTGAGGGGATGTTCTTTCAAGTGAAGAAATCATTCATGTAGGTTGCTAGCCTTTTGGTGGCTAACTACCAGTCATTGGTGGCTAACTTCCAGTCAATCAGGAAAATTAAAAAAGTCACCATATGACCCGTTACAAAGTTAGTTCGACTAGAAACACATTCAAAATAAAATTTTGTCTTAATACATACGAGGTATGATCAAAAAGTTCTCAGCCAGATTTACTTCTATAGTCACTACACTGACATTTACACAAGATACGTGGATCCCGATATCTTATTGAAGATAACTGACCGAGTTACACACGGTTTTACCATAAAAGAGGGGTGTGTCATTTAGACCAAATGGATAAGTTGAAATCAGAGCTGTCATTAAGTACTTCTGTAAGAAAGGGATGTCACCCAAGGAAATCCATGAAGACTTCATAGATACACCTATAGCACTGTGAAAAAATGGGCTGCTGAATTTAAGAGGGGCAGGGAGAGCATTGGAGATGATGAGCAGCCTGGGCGGCCAAAAGAGGCCACCAACGATGAAACTGCTGAAGTTGTGCAGGCTCTGGTCATGTGTGACAGAAGGCGAGACCTGTGAAGCATTTGTAGGGTATAAGTGGGTATAAGCTTTGGTTCAGTTCAGGCAATTTTGACTGATGTTTATAGCATGTCAAAGGTTTCCACTAGATGGGTCCCTAGACAGTTGACTGACGACCAGAAACTGACCAGGCTTGACATTTCAAGATATCTTTTGTCTCGCTAAGAGGATGAACCTGATTTTGTCTCAGGATGAAACATGGGTCCATCACTTTGATCTGCTCCTGCCCGCCAATGTGCCATCTCACACATCCCAAGTTGCGATGCTGCTTCAACTGACTGCGGCTTTGAAATTCTTCCCCATTTCCCATATTCTGTGGACTTGGCCCCCTCTGACTTTTACCTGTTTCCGAAACTGGAAAGCGTGGTTAACGTTTTGGAAGCAATGAAGGTGTCCTGAAGGCAGTCAATGAGTTCCTTGAGGACCAAAATAGAGAGTTCTATTTTGAAGGTTTAAACAAGTTGGAGCACAGGTGGGCAAAGTGCATTGATGTAGAGGGCAATTATATTGAAAAGTAAGACCATTAGTTGGGTTCCCTGACTACCGGAAGTACATCGGGCCAAGAACTTTTTTATCAATCCTTGTATAAGCTTGATTGTTACATAGCTAAACTTGTGATCTGCGGTTTGCCAAACAGGAGAAATGAGATGAGTTTATTCTAACATCAGTGAACCAGAAATTATGATTTCTTCAGCAGACGTACAATTGTTTTACCATCCTAACATAAAGTTGAATTATGGTAATCCATTTTCCTTTCAGAAAACTAACAACTTCATTTATTCCTTGAGCCAGTTTGCTGTTGTAAGATAGTGATAATTTTTAAAGAGTGCTTTTTATTGTTAACAGTGTATCTTGTTTCTTAAATACCAGAACTGATCTGTCTGAAATCAAACGTCAACTTTTGGACATAATTTTATTGGTAACTGAGGGAAACTGAGCCAAGTTTCTACTTTGATTGTGTAAACTGCATTGATACTGACAATGACACTGCTAATTTCAATGAGTTACAATGCTAGTTTCATCCCAGGTGGAAACCCGTTCCTTAGAGGGGGTTAATGATTCTTGGATACCATAATGTGGGCTATCCATAAGAGGTGTGACAATCACTCCAAGGTAGATTGATATATGGATACTATTAGCCCATTGCAATTACAGGAAAAATACTGTATAACTGTTATGTTAAGCTGTTGGTTTAAGTAGGAAGATCAGGCACAGAGGTGACAGGTTCAATCCACTTGAGAGGCAAAATTTTTTCACTACTGGCTCATGTGAGATATGTTGTCATTCATCAGTGTCCAAATTGGTGATTACTGGTTAGTTATCCAGGAAACCAGGTAACTTCAATGACCAAATGTATTAAAAATCAATGTTAGATCAATCAGTAGCTATAATATATACATGAAACTTAAACTTTAAATGCTAACGTTTAGTCTTAATATTTTGACAATGTAAGTAATTAAACAGTGTAATTAAATTTCCACAACACTCTAAAGATAAATTTTTCCCATGGCCAGTACCATAATATAGCACCAGGAATCTATCAGTTCACTTCCACACATATATTTCTGACAAGGGAATTGATTTGGTGTGTATGATAATCTTTGAAAAATGGAAAACTGCCAGTTGTGGTCTGGTAGTTCAAGTATTTCTAAGGTAATTGACTCTGGGTGTAAAAAACTGTGTAATACAGTGAAATGAAGTGTACAAAGTTATAGTTCATTGTTTATTTTAGTGGCCAGTCAATTTATCATCATACTTGAGGGATTATATTTCTGCCAGCTGACTTTCTAATGAATAAAAATCCATTACATTATTATATAGTTTGTTTGTTTTAACAAATGTTTCATGTCTGGATTGAACATCTAATGAAATACAAAATTACAGGATTTAATATGAATAATAATTATTACAGATTAAATTGTTGAACATGAATACACTGTTTAAGGTGTGAAACAAATCTGCTATGTTAGCTTTTGTTGAATGTGACTTTGGAAATATAGATGTACATATTATTAATAATAATTATAAGAAAAAAATTGATATGTTTCTTTCCTTAATTGTATTAAAACATATTTTTTAATTTATTGTACAAAAATTTACCTTATCTGATAGTCTGCTCAAAGTGAAGTATGTGTATATATAAACATCATAAGGACCTTGTATGAATGTTTCTGTACATTTGTTGTCTGTTTGGGAATGGTTGTAACAAAAGTTCATCTGTTATCTTTAAAATTGGTCCAGAGAATGGTAATTTGCAGATTTATTTGATTATGGTAATGTCATGTAGTATTATAAGAAACAACAAAACTTAAAAATTTAAAAAATTCATTTTTGACATGTTACTAATAATTATGTCATTTAACTTGCTTATATTAATATAAACAAAGACTAAAAATACAAATTCTTATTTTTTACTGCAAGAATTATATTATTGAACTTAAAAATTTGATCGCATTCTTACTATATTCTGTTATATTATTTTATGAATCTTATTTCAAAATGATGGAAACTGATACTGATTATTTCATAAAGTTCCCTTCTCATATTCTGGTTTCACTTTCATCAAGTATTGATATGAATATATTAAGGGTTGTTAAAAATGTTTATTGAGAATTTATTTACCCCAATACTTTGCTGAAACAGCAGCCCTGTACATGCACATTACTGTAGTCTGATCTGAGGCTCTAAAATACCTTTCATTTTCATCTTTGATATCCCAAAATATTGATAATGGATATGTACAGTATTGTTTCTCTTCCCCATCTTTTAAACTATACAGTTTAAAGGACTCATCCTGCTTGGTATTTCAGAATACCTGACCAGATTGCACACTGTACCGACTCTCTACTACCAGTGCCATAAGTTTATGTTAGTGTATTTTAATGAAACACTCAGTATGATATTTACTAGAAGCAAACATTTATCAAGTTTTGTCAAACAGTATATTAAGTAACTGTAATCAAAGTCTTGATATTTTTCTTATAACTGTACTTTTGTATTGTTTAAGCAATATGTTAAATGACATTTGAGCCGTGTGTTTTAAAGAGATCATTGTGATCAGTTGTAAAGTTTTAGTGTCAAAACATCAATGGGTGGGGGCTTTGCAGGGATGGGGGAGGGGATTTGGATTAAATGGCTGGAACACAAGGGAGAAGTTTAATATAATACCTAACAAAAACATTATTGAATGAGTCAGGTGTAATATATAGAGGATATTGAATGAGTGTAGGGTTCAATACTGAATTTATTGAATGAGTTGAATAAAATTGTATTATGTGAGCCTTAGATGAGCATGATATTGTTTTATTTGCTAAGTTCAATAAATTTATTAATGAAGCTACATGAATATAATATTCTATTTATCACATATCCAAAAAAGAACTGTTTGTGGTAAAAAGAATGGATTTTTAGACGCGCTTATTTCTGTGTAATGCTAACATTCAGCGTGTGTTGAATAACACAAATGATGTCACGTCAAAATATATGCACAGCTGTCCAATACTATTTTTACGGAGTCACAAAATCAGCATGGGTATGTGATAAACATTTATATTATCCAAATGTTTTTAAACAACTGCAGAAAGATAGAATTTTGCAAACTTTTTTAACAGTCCGGGTGTAATTTTTTTGGAGTTTCAATTTGAAAGTGAAATATAGTGTAGTTCTCAAATTTTGATCTATTGCCTCAAATTTTTGATCTATGCTAGTAATATGTCTTATGTAGAAGGAATTGATAAATCTCAGCCAACAGAAGAAAGTTGAAATGATCAGTACTTACATGCAGCACTGGCAGCACTGATGATTTATCAGTGAACCTGGTGCCACTGTTTCTTTCACATTAGTTGTACAAACTGGAAAATGTCTCTTTTTTTCCTTATTTCTTTTTAATTTACTTTGTCATAACACCACCCATTTTATTTAAATTACTCATTGAAAAATAATATTGAGGGCAGCGTATTTGAATTTCCTGTCTCTCTTGTATTGGAGTGGTTATTTTCTTAGGATATGAGTAATGAATTTGAGTGTATTACTTGTATGTAGGCATTCAGAATTAATAATTGAGAAAAGAAGACTCTTATAAGAGGAAGTGAGTTTATTTTAAAGTTAACAGAATTGGCTCTCTTGTTTGTTTTTTATCCTTCCTTCAATTAGTGTTATTGATATGTGTTTGAATGGCGTGGAAAAAAACTAATTTCCAAATAGAATTTTGTGTTTACTTTTTGAGGAAATTTATTACATTGTGCATACAGATACCTATTGTTTTCATTACTTTGATGCTTTTTATGGAATGGAAGCCTCTTCATGGTAATTGAAAATTTCTGATTTATAGACCAGGGACATATTTAGCTCCAAGTTTTCACTCTTTATTAACATCATTGCTCATCTATTTTCAGATCTAGAGCGAAAATGGATGTCCCTGTGGGAAAGATGTTTTCTTTGTGACATGGAGGATGGACCCTGTCAAACTCTTCAAAATGTTGGCGTCAATTAAATTACCATGGCAACCTACGCGTTCTAAGATTGGATGGCCAAGGCGTGGTCAGATTTTCTTATGGATTATTTTCACATCTCTTCTGCTGTTCTTTTGTGTAACCTTGACCTTTAATGGTCATGTCTGGCAGATGCTTGATTCTAACATGCATCTCAGTGAGTATGATGATGCAAATGAAGGATATGGATTAAGGAAGCTTCTAGAGGATCCAGAGGCAAGATTAAGACAGGAAGGCTTGGAAAAAAGGCTGCCCCAGTGTATAATAATTGGTGTAAGAAAGTGTGGAACAAGAGCATTATTAGAGTTTCTTAACCTTCATCCCAATATAAAAACAGCTGGAATGGAGATGCATTATTTCAATAAAGATGAAAATTATGATAATGGGTATGAGTGGTACAGAAAATATATGCCATTTTCAACATCAAAGGATATTACCATAGAGAAAACACCAAGATATTTCATTTCTGAGAGTGCACCGGAACGGATTTTTAAGTTCAACAGTTCTATTAAATTGATTGTGATATTCCGACATCCAACAACAAGAGTAATATCAGACTATTCCCAAGTGTACGAGAATAAACTTGAAAGAAATAAGTCTGTAGAGCCGTTTGAGAAAATTGTGATTGACAAAAGAACAGGCCGAGTGAATACTGGGTACAAAGCAGTGAGAATAAGTATGTATTATTATCATTTGACGCAGTGGTTATTGTATTTTCGTAGACATCAAATCCATATCGTCAATGGGGATAATTTGATAGTGAATGCCTTAGAGGAAATAAAAAAAGTGGAGACATTCTTGGGATTGGATCATGCGATTACTGAAGAGAATGTGTATTTTAACGAGACACGAGGGTTCTACTGTATGAAATCAGGGAATGATCAACATTGTCTTGGTGCTCAGAAAGGAAGAAAACATCCCGATATTGACCCAAAGGTTATAAGGAAATTGAATAATTTCTATCATCCGTACAATCGGAAATTGTTTGCTATGATTGGTCAAGAATTTGATTGGGATTAAATGAGAATTTCACAGCATCATGCAGAGAATAGAAGAGACAGGGAATTTGGGCGTAAAACTCTGGACCAGAAAGTATTAATTATAATGTCATTGTGCATTTTGAAGTTTTTAGTCATACAAGGGGTGTAATCTCATATTGTCAGGTTGTCTCCCCTTGAAATTATCAGTTATACTTGGATATACATGCATGTACTTTACATTATCTGTTCATTTGAAATCCTTGAAGAATGAAGTTTGATTTAAAGTACAGTGAAACAGTATAACTTTTCTCATAGCCATGTGACATCATGTTCTCATGAATTATGATCATGTGATATGATGGATATAATGTTTACATTTTATCATCAGGTATATTATCTGATATTCATATCACAAGATTGCTAAAAACATGCTTAACTGATATTGTAAATTTACTTCCTAGTATTAATACATATATACTTTTTTCCATAAAATTTTAATTATAGTTTAATTAAATGACTATTATTGATACTTATTTTTGCAGATTTACTGGAAATTATTTATATGGATACATCATTATGTTACATAAATAACACATTATTGCATACATAATAACATTTCATCGCTTGAATTGATTTTCACCAAGGTATCATTTAGTATTTTCTGGCCTAATCATTTTTAGCTATTGACCAAATATCATCGTACAATATTTATGCAATAAGGCTTTAATGAATTAGTGATTTGTTTCCATGTACATGATTTTCTATGAAGATATATGTCACAAATCTGAAGTTTCGTTTGGCCATCTTTGTTGTTATTGTTTTTGTTGTTTCGTATGAATTGAAATATGTTGAATAAAGAACTACAGTCTACTTGTGTGTGTGAACTTATAAAGTAGTCTGCTTGTCTTATGTCTAAAAATTGGTTTGAATGTAAGGATTTGTTCATGTGAATATATGACGGAAGTCCTGAACCCTTCTGTATTTAAATAATAATAGTCCATTTCAGTTTTAGAGCACAAATCTGTATGTTAGTCTGGGAGACTGGCAATCACTTGCTTCTAGCAGGTCAATAGTTAGTTAAACTTACTAGTTTAATTGTTTCAGATTAATGAAGGTCACTAAGTCTATCTTTTACCAGGTCCAAAGCAAGGAAAATTGTTATCATATTAACATCATAGATTTTCTTCATTAGGTTTTTATCATTCTTTTTGTTAGCTTTTTTTCCATAACTCATAAAATATTTACAGATGATATTAATCATGGGAGGGTATTTAAGTTTTTTAATACCACACAGCATGCTCACTTTGTAAGAGTAAAAAAAAAGATGTGGGGAATTTTTTGTTTGTTAATGATTTTTTCTTTTCTAAGGTTAATTTTACTAAAGTGTAGAGAAATGGCCACATGGTTAATGGGTCAATATGACACAGTATCTACATGTACATGTAGTTCAATACAAGAAATACATTTGTATGTATGAAGAAATTGGTAGGAATATTGAATTACAAGACTTTTCTATAAATAATCAAATATAAAAAATAAGCTATTTTGTTTTAATTTGTTTCTGTCTGAAAATGTTGTTTGCGTTTATTATTTACAACTTTCAGTCTGAAAGTTTTTTCTTGACATAAAATATTTTCAAGTTTCAGCTAGAAACGTTTTGGTTCTGTTAATTTTTCCAGTTTTGGTGGTAAACTTTTATTTCCATTAATTTTATATCAGTAAGAAACCTTTTGTTTTGGTTACATTTTTGTTTGTCAGTTTTAATGATAGATATCACTTTTTTCCTGGTTTATGATTAAATTTTTTTGTTGTTATTGTTTTTTTGTTGTTGTTTTTTTTCCCCACTGAGTATAAAAAGCTATTTCTGAAATATTTTTGTCAGTTTAAAATGAAATATATTGTTATGTTATTTGTAGGAAACAATATAGATTGTATATACAGTCATTACCCTAGTTTCCATAGATAATTTCCCTAGATCAGTCAATCTTCTTTATACATAATGGACAAGAGACCTTACTAATTTGATGAAGTTTGGTTAAATGGCAAAAAGGTCTTGACATAATTATATAAATGACAGTTACACATTATTGGTTTAGCAGAAGCACAAATGGCAACAAAATCAACAAACAAAAACTCTGTGTAAAAAGCTTTGTTAGATTTTTTTTTTTAAACTTAAAGGAACTCCACTGAGGTCCAAAAGCCTAAAAAATGAAAATTGAATTTCTTACACAGAATAGCCAGAGCACTTAATACAGAACATTATGAGAAAGATAAATAAGAAATATACTAAGAAATAAATTGAAAATCATATTCTGTGCTATTCTAGCTGAGCCTGATGTGAGGGAAAAACGTTGGAAGGCTTTTCAAATTTAGGCCCTTTTTTACAATTAGAATAATTATGCTGGAAAAACGGATTGAGGGAGTGATTTGAAATTTTGCACTCAAGTAATTGGGTAGACCTACACTAGAGGGAGCATTAATCTTGAAAAATTATTACCATGCCAAAAAACCCTCAGTGGAGTCCCTTTAACATTTATAACACAGAAAAAAACTTCTGAAGCAGTAAGAATTTGATTTAGAAGGACTGTACATGTATAATTCTTTATTATTGTTGTTGTTATTGTTGTTTAGTAGTGGTGGTAATGTTGCTGATGTTGAAGTTCTTTATAGACATCTAGGCCTAGACTTGAAATATTAATGAGCGTGACTCCATCATCCTTTAAGTTGCTGGTTTAGAGCATAAATTCTGTCACTATGTTTGTAAAGCCAGTTTTAAATAATTCATTACTTCACATTAGATATTAGTAAACATTAAGGTGCAATACATATGAATATTAAAACTGTATTGAACTGTTAATATACCCGGTACATGTACATTTGATAAAATATTATACTTGAACTGACTGCAAAGTTTGTACTTCTTCTATAATAAAACTTTTACACATCTAAAGTGACACGCCTTGATATGAATGAAGAATGTTCCTGGTGTAAAAATACAATTGCCCGATTTAAGGAAGTATTGTCACAAGCCTTAAAGGGACTCCACTAAGGTTTTTTGACATGATGGGACTGGAAATTATTTTTTCAAGATTATTATACCATTTTTTGATGAAGGTCTTTACCAGTAAATTGTGTGCAAGTCTGGGTATTTTACCTTTTTTAAGATTTGTAAAAGTTAATCAAAGTAACATTTTCACAATCAATGTAAGATTTTCACATTTAATGTTTTCAGGCTTTTTGACCTTAGTGGAGTTCCTTTAAAAGATGTACATTCAGAAGTTATAGACCAACTGGTCCACTTGTCATTGTATCAACTAAAGTAAACAATGTAATATCACCATAAACCAGGGGCAACCTGCAATTTCCTCTTGTAAACATATAATTACCCAAGATAGAAATGATGTGTGTGACTGTTTCAAGTGATACTTTATGGTCAATTGTCCACTTTTCTTACTCATTTTGGTCAGTTTTTACAGCTGTCCATATACTTAACATAGACATTTATGTGCATGGAGAACAGCTTTTAGATAAAGTCTAAAATTATATTGAATTAGGTGTTTATTTCAAGTGTTCTAGGAGAGCTGTTAAATGACATGGTTTTTGTTTGTCAATAGTTGTCATGCTATGTTCAATGTCAGTAAAGTATGTTTATTTTAAAAAAAATGAAGAGAAATTAAATTTCCTGGTATTAAATGTTATTTTATAAATGAGTATTACTGGCTTATAAAAATATAGTTACTTATGCATGAATACTAAATTAAACTTTTAATCAACAATCTATCAAAGACTTTTGTTTATATCTATATGATATTGGTCTGATATAAAACTACATCTATAACTTTAATACCCTCTCATTCTACTCTGTTTGAATCCCACCGGAGACAGTACTTCGCTTAAAGACCTATCCGGTATTGAAGGTTCAATTCAGGTAGAGAGTCCTGTCCATTAAAGTTGAAAAGTAGCATTATTGTCTTAACAGTGTAAGTTTGACATTAATGTAAATTTTTAAAAATCTAACCTTTCATATTTATCTGAACTTTAATTATTTATGACATTTTAAAGTGAAGTTAAATCCATTAAGTCAACAAAAATCAAAAGTAACTTGTAAATATTATTTTACCTCAGTGTAATTTTCTAGTCAGAGGAACTAGCTTTGTGTTTAATTATTACTTGTTTGTTTTGATGGACATAAATAGACTGAAAAAGAGGGCTTTATATTTAGCATTACTTATTACAGATATACTTGCCTGAAATTTTAATATTGCTTTTATTAAATGAATGAAAGGAATGACTGTGCAAAACTGCTAAAATGTTCGGTATTCTAAATGTAAGACAGTTGTATGTATATTAAACTAAACTGGTTTGTGTTTATTAACATGATTATAAGGGATTTTCTTTATGGATTCATTGGGAAAAACTGCTTATATGGTATGTATGTAAAGTGCTTTATTTTTTTATATGGATACAAAAATCTTGTAGATGTACTTAATACTTATAAATAGAATTGGTATGACATGCTGAACGATTGTCTATAGAGATCCCTGTGTCTATTATAGTGATGCCAAGGCCATCTTATTTATATTACAATGTCATATAGTGTTCCTAAGGCTTTATATAGAGAACCCAATGTCATCTAATGATCCTGTGATCCCTAGGCCCTCTTTATATAGAAATCCTAATATTAACTAGTGACCAAAGGCCCTCTTATTAAGATAACACTGCCTTCTTTAGACGCCGCATGCAAAGATCACAATGTCATCTAGTGATTCCAGTTCCCTTTACAGATTTCCTAATACCTTCTATAGAAATCACTATACCATCTAGTGATTCCAATGCCCTCTACATAGATCCCAGTGTCATCTTGTGATTCCAATGCCCTCTACATAGATCCCAGTGTCATCTTGTGATTCCAATGCCCTCTACATAGATCCCAGTGTCATCTAGTGATTCCAATGCCCTCTACATAGATCCCACTGTCATCTAGTGATTCCAATGCCCTCTACATAGATCTCAGTGTCATCTAGTGATTCCAATGCCCTCTACATAGATCTCAGTGTCATCTAGTAATTCCAATGCCCTCTACATAGATCCCAGTGTCATCTAGTAATTCCAATGCCCTCTACATAGATCCCAGTGTCATCTAGTGATTCCAATGCCCTCTACATAAATCCCAGTGTCATCTTGTGATTCCAATGTCCTCTACATAGATCCCAGTGTCATCTAGTGATTCCAATGCCCTCTACATAAATCCTAGTGTCATCTAGTGATTCCAATGCCCTCTACATAGATCCCAGTGTCATCTTGTGATTCCAATGTCCTCTCTACATAGATCCCACTGTCATCTAGTGATTCCAATGCCCTCTACATAGATCTCAGTGTCATCTTGTGATTCCAATGTCCTCTACATATATCCCAGTGTCATCTAGTGATTCCAATGCCCTCTTCATAGATCCCAGTGTCATCTTGTGATCCCAAGCCCTCTACATAGATCCCAGTGTCATCTAGTGATTCCAGTGTCCTCTACATAGATCCCAGTGTCATCTTGTGATCCCAGGCCCTCTACATAGATCCCAGTGTCATCTTGTGATTCCAATGTCTTCTACATATATCCCAGTGTCATCTAGTGATTCCAATGCCCTCTACATAGATCCCAGTGTCATCTAGTGATTCCAATGTCCTCTACATAGATCCCAGTGTCATCTAGTGATTCCAATGTCCTCTACATAGATCCCAGTGTCATCTGGTGATTCCAATGTCCTCTACATAGATCCCAGTGTCATCTGGTGATTCCAATGTCCTCTACATAGATCCCAGTGTCATCTAGTGATTCCAATGACCTCTACATAGATCCCAGTGTCATCTAGTGATTCCAATGTCCTCTACATAGATCCCAGTGTCATCTAGTGATTCCAATGACCTCTACATAGATTCCTGTATTATCTAGTGATTCCAATGCCCTCTACATGCCCTCTACATAGATTCCAGTGTCATCTAGTGATTCCAATGTCCTCTACATAGACTCCAGTGTCATCTTGTGATCCCAAGCCCTCTACATAGATCCCAGTGTCATCTTGTGATTCCAGTGTCCTCTACCTATATCCCAGTGTCATCTAGTGATTCCAATGCCCTCTACATAGATCCCAGTGTCATCTAGTGATTCCAGTGTCCTCTACATAGATCCCACTGTCATCTAGTGATTCCAATGCCCTCTACATAGATCCTAGTGTCATTTAGTGATTCCAATGTCCTCTACATAGATCCCAGTGTCATCTTGTGATCCCAAGCCCCACTAGAGATATGCTTTAGGCTACATTTAAATCTTCAGGTACTTTTCATGGATTCCAATGCCCTTTTTGAGATCCTGTTAAAGTACTTTAGTACTTTTATCATAGTTATTTATTTGTCATAAACATTTTTGCTTTAGTATGAAATTGCAACATACAAGTACTGTTAGAAGTACATTTACATGTATTATCTTATTATACTGTTTATATTAATACAATCTAGTCTTTAATTCTAAAGTACGAAGAATAATTTTATATTGAAATTTTTTCTCATAGTCTCTGACCCAATGAACGTTGTGGATAGTCTCCTGTATTGTTACAATTTCAAGTATGTCTCCACTTCAAATTGACCAAGGTTAAGTACATCATCAAGATTTCTGAATGTTTTTGTCTGTTTTCAAAATTGTAAATGGATATTATTTGCTGTAAAATAAGTGTTATTTGCTGTAAACTGGGTTTATTTTGAGATTGTTTTAAATTGTTAACAGTTATACAATTTAAGTACTAAGTTTTGGATACTTTTTATAATTTTTTGTGTTTGAGGGTGAAAGGGAGATAATTCAGTAAGTTATTCTTCAGGCACTGAAATATCTAATAGATGATTATGAAGAATATTTATTTCTATAGATAAATTTTAAACTATTATGGATCTACAAAACAATATTTCAAAATGAAAGTCCTCCTGAATTACAGTATTAAATGTTTAGATGTTGTTGAAAATATGTTTTACAATGAATAAAGAATTAAATCTTTTCCTGAAGAATAATTTCTTGGATGTAATGCACCTATACTATTTTCATGTTTGTTGCTAATGCTCTAAATGTTAAAATGTATATCTGGTTGTATTTCTCGAACAAGTTGTTGAGAAAAGAACAATATTCATTTGAAATGATTAAAAATGATACAATACACTACCACTTGTTTCTTTTGTTATTTGTTTCTTCAATACAAACTCCTTTTTCAAATCTTTCAACAATTTTCATTTTTCTGTGCTTTGATTCATCATTGTCTGTGCTGTCTGCTTTATGTAACTTGTCTGAGTTAAATCACTTTCAGGTATAAAAGGAACATGTTTGTGTAATGTTTTAGAGGAGATAGGTGTGAAAGCAGATCTCTACATATATAATGAAATCATCTTTATATTCCCACATTTGTTCTCATTGATATATATTGACAGATATAGGTTACTATGTCAGGTTGTGTATAGAATATTCAATTTAAAACTAGTAAGTTTTTTATATCATCTAGGATTTGGTTCACCTGTGAAATATTTTACAATATCTGGTCAAATTGTTTAACAATACTATTAATGAAAACCTGAGTCTGTACAGAAATAAATACTATAATATTATACCGTTTTATTTTGTGTGGAGAATATGGTGGTTTTGTTGTAAAGCATTTTGTAGTTACTTCACTTCAATTCCAAGAAATCAAACCCTTCATTTAAAATTCTTTATATCATCATCATTATTTGATATAATTAGAATTGATTAATTTCTCCTACACAGTCATTAAAAATTATTAATTAGTTTATTGGCACAAAAACTTGAACTGTATATCCTTCCATAATTCAGTACCCTGTACTCATTCACAAATTTTAATTGAGTTTTTTAATGTACATGCCCACAATCATTAAAAAACTTCATTTATTTTAATTAGCCCATCTTGAAAGAATTCTCCCATTACCCAAACATCATTTATAAACTTAATTAACTATCTCACTATCATTTAAAAATAACTGTAATTTATTTACAAATGAAATGATTTATTACTTTATCATTAGAATTTGTTTACCAATTGGTCCAACATTATTTTAATTTCTTAATTTTTTAGCTATACAATATTGATAAAAACTGTAACAATGGCCCACCATTATGGAAAAATTAGTGCTTATATAATAGCTAATGATCATTTATAATAACTGTAACATCACCATGAAACTTTTATTAGTGCACCAAACTTTTATTAGTGCACCATCATTAAAAAAAACTTTTCTTTTTAAATCTAACTTTTGAACTTTTCTTTTTTTCTATTTTCTTTTTTATTTGACCAATATATACCCTGGCTGGCATGATGTTTTTTGTGCTGTACATGTGTGTCTTTCTTGAATTGTCCAACAATTACTGTAACCTTCTGTGGAGATAATTTCTGTATATTCTATAAATGCCTGATGGTTTATTTATTGGGTGATTATGTAGGTGTTAATGGAGACCAAGGGGTCTATATTTGCTCATCTTTGGGGAGTTCTCTAACATAATTATTGTTATTGTCATGCTTTATGATAGTTTTACTTTTAGAAAAGAAAGACCAAATACCGGTACCATGCTAAATACCTTAAATGGACTTGTCCATCTTTCAATCTGGATAGAACCATTAATATTTTTAGGGCAAATTTCAAATAAATATTGGCTGAATATCAAATAGTGCAGACCATGATGGCATTGATGTGACGTTTGATCCTGGTCTGCACTGATTGAATGAGTAGAATCTGTTGCTGACACCAATTTAGATGTTAAAACATTAAAAATTGCCAGAATGTATTTATACATACAGATTTGTGATGGATATTTAACTGGATATTTAACTTGAATTTTTATATTTTGTGTTTGTTAAAGAGATGGTACTTACATGTTTTTGTTGTGAGTCAATTAGAAGTATACTTATGTTAATACAACAGTGAGGGAGGGACCTCTAAGGCTACATAAGTTGTTGAAGCTGCTGACTTAGACTCATTTATGCTTTCTGTGCCATTAAAGTTTTTGCCAAACTATCTGATATCCTGCCAATCAGATCCTATTCATTGGAAAGTGGGTACAACCTGGTGGAAAAATATGCTGCAGTATACTTCAGTAAATATATTATCCTGAAGAAATGCACAATTGGTATTCTTTAGTACTTTATACCATTGAAAACAGGAAAACTGCTATATGACCTTGACATCATCCAGGGAAATGAGGGGGGGGGGGGGGAAGAAAAAAACATAATGCAGCATGTCACATATAAGGATCTTACACTGGCTGCCGGTACAGACCAGAAAATCTGGCTCACGGGTAACTGTTTATGGCAGTAACAAGGCTCTGTCAAGTTTCTGCTAAACAGTTACCTGATAGCTAGATATTGCTGTCTGTGACAGCAGCCGATTTATGTGTGCAAACAGTAGATAATCCTGACTGATACACAAGAATCATTGATATTGCATTCTTAATATTTAGTTCATTTTTGTGTCGCCTCTACGGAGTAGTGGCGACATATAGGGATCACTTCTCCGTCGTCTGTCTGTCCGTCTGTCTGTCTGTCTGTCCGTCACAAAACTTGTCCGGACTACTCCTCATAAACTACTGGTGCAATTTCATCCAAACTTTACAGGAATGATCAGTACCAAGTCTAGTTGTGCATATTGTCAGCATTTTCCGGTTCAATGATTTTTGTCAGAGTTATGGCCCTTTAATAATTTTTATTTTAAGTTTGTCCGGACTACTTCTCTTATACCACTAATGCAATTTCAATGAAACTTTACAGGATTGATCTGTAGCTCAAGTCCTTGCACATATTGCACGGGTTTTCCGGTTGAATGATTTTTGGCCGAGTTATGGCCCTTTGATAAAAAGGTGTTTTTTTCTGTGTGTTGCCAGATACACAAAAGCTTGTCAGGACTACTCCTCAAAAACTACTGGTGCAATTTCATCCAAACTTTACAGGAATGATCAGTACCAAGTCTTGTTGTGCATATTGTCAGTATTTTCCGGTTCAATGATTTTTGTCAGAGTTATGGCCCTTTAATAATTTTTATTTTTAAAAGTTTGTCCGGACTACTTCTCTTATACCACTAATGCAATTTCAATGAAACTTTACAGGATTGATCTGTAGCTCAAGTCCTTGCGCATATTGCACGAGTTTTCCGGTTGAATGATTTTTGGCCGAGTTATGGCCCTTTGATAAAAGGGTGTTTTTTTTCTGTGTGTTGCCAGATACACAAAAGCTTGTCCGGACTACTCCTCATAAACTACTGGTGCAATTTTATCCAAACTTTACAGGAATGATCAGTACCAAGTCTAGTTGTGCACTGTCTGTCTGTCTGTCTGTCTGTCACAAAACTTGTCCCAACATAAAATTGGCCATCATGAGGCGACACATGTGATTACTGATCGCTCTTGTTTAAAAATCAAGTTTAAAGTGATATTCTGATAGATCTACATCTATTAGTGGCTATCAAACATTGAATAGTTTAGTCTTGAAACTCAGAAATTAACATCAATTTATTTATTTGGCATTTTGACATAATGATGTCATATATTTATTCCTCTACTTCCTTTGTTGGCGTCCGCGCCGAAGCGCGGCGCTCTTATGGAATGAGATCAGATTTTGTGAAAGGGCGACAGCAACTTCTCGAGCCTTTTAGTCGGTCATAATAAAAGCCGAAAATTCCGATCGGTATGAGGGTGCTTGATTATTAAATAAGAATGAAATGTCGCGATATGTTACAATGAATTTTCGCAATGCAAACATTTACAAATGAAATAACCTTTTCCGTCAATAAATCGCGCTCTTCGGGGTTTTTTATTTATCATTTTGTAGTACACAGTCGGTTATCATGTCATGGTATGTTATTGTTGTACATGTATCCTAGAATGATCAGTTGATGACCTAAATATTCCAAAAACCTATTTATAGATATATCTTTTTATCACTCCTATCGGTAAATGCCGGTCTCTCCCGGTCTATTTTGACCAGGATTTACTAGTGACCGGCGAATAGTATTTTTTTTGGTATTAAAATGACATTATCAACTTTGAAACATTTTTTTTAATTATTCAATTTGTTATCCGTGTTTAGTAAAGATGTCGAGGAATTATTCAAAGTTACAAATTAGATTTTATGAATTATTCAATTGATCGATAATTTAAAAAATGATAAAGAAAAATACAATGTACATGTACATGGTTTAAGAATAAACAATATTATATATTGAAAGATAAACCATAATTTACTGACTTTTTCCAGTTAAGCTTTGACTTATAATCGTCGGTCAATATGACAATTGAATTCTTAAAATTTATTTTACAATTTTAATAAAAAAGAGTAGTAAAAACTCAGTATTAAAATAGCACATAAAACACAAAAAAGAATAAAAGAAAACAATATTCATAAAATTTGTATTTTTTTTAAATTAAAATTAATAGATATTACAATTATTGTATAATAAACAATTATGCTCAACATGATCAACATGGTAATATAACCAGTGTCATATTTTTACTAACTTAAAGTGTGAACAGATACCTTAAGGGGGTCTTCGCTAATAGCGATAACATGTACATAATAAGGGACAAATGTGTGGTACGTGTTGATCATGCGTTACACATATGGATTATAAATGATTGCATACATGTATATCCGTTGCTATTAATAACCACGATCATAAAGAAATAACAAGTAATATTCTAATCTCTAGCATGCCAATCAAAGTTCATAATGAACAATGTCTTTCGTCCGCTCATTCATAAGTGGTATACATTTCTGGTAGTTTATAAGAATATCTTGTCATCATATGTGTACTAGTTCATCTTCACTTGCTGCATTTCTTGCTTGGACGCCCTTTGATGCTTTGCATCAATGCTTTTCTTGTTTATACTAGAAGGGTAGATAATCTTTGTAGTGGCATATCATACACATCTTTTGTTAGATAAAGCAGTTCTAGTATAACTAAATTATACTGAAGCATGTGCTTCTCATGAACCATTTGGTAAATGTTTATATGAAATAGTACCGTATCTTATTTGTTTGTAATCAAAAATGTATAGAAAAGTTAACATGAACTGAACTCTAGAGAACTTGTGTGTTATTGTTGAAATTCCTTGACAATTTGAAATACAGAGGCATAGCAGTAATACAAAACTTGAAATGTGGAAAAGAT